TGTCGGCCTCCTTCTTCTGTATCCGCTGAGAGCAGGACAATCCAGGTGATTGCTGACCTTGGCAGAGACTGTGTGGAAATGCACGTGCCACAGAAGCGCAGGGCACACTAGAAGTCACTAGATAACACGGGATGCACTGGAGTGCACTGAAGTCACAAGGCGCACTGGGGTCACTAGATGACACGGGGCGCACTGGGGTCACTAGATGACACGGGGCGCACTGGGGTCACTAGATGACACGGGGCGCACTGGGGTCACTAGATGACACGGGGCGCTCTGGGGTCACTAGATGACACGGGGCGCTCTGGGGTCACTAGATGACACGGGGCGCTCTGGGGTCACTAGATGACACGGGGCGCACTGGGGTCACTAGATGACACGGGACGCTTTAATGCTGCGGGATGCACTGTAGTAATGGGGTACACCGGGGTCACTAGGTGACACCGGATGCTGCAGGCTGCACTTGAGTCACAGGGCGCACAGGTGATCCAGAATGCTCAGATACTGAGGGGTGTACTGAAGTACTGCAGCAGGGGTCTCGGCTGACGCTTAGCAGTGCATTGCTTGAACGCTGATCCACGTGTTACTTTGCAATTTAAAGCCACGGCAATCAGGAGAGCTGTTTCCTGATTGGCCACAGCGCCACCACTCTGAATAAAGCCGCCGCTGGATCCCCGACGTACGTGTGACACTTGTCTCTTGGTTTCTGAAGTCTATCCCTTTTCTCATATCTCAGCTCGGTCGGTCTGTTCTATCTTGCCCGTCACCAGCGGCAGTAACGTGGCTTCTTGTTGTACTGTTGCAGGTGGACGGAGAGTTGGAGGCTCTCCTGGAGAATGGGGAAGGTCTGTCGGACAAGAATCAGGCCCTTAGCCTGTCTCGGTTAATGGTCCGAATTGAGACGCTGGAACAGAAGCTCACCTGTCTGAAGCTAATCAAGGTAAAGAGGCACCGGCTGTTTTTATGCATCTTTTATATACTGTTCCAAGGTTGTGTTTTAGATATAGTGGAGCTGTAACTTGTATAGTACGCTTACATACGCCGGGCATATAACATGATTTAACATGAAGCATATTATGTTTTCTGCCTGTAGAACACACAGTCTCAGTCCTGTCTGAAGTTCTTCCTGGAGTGTCACGGCCTGTCTCTTCTGTGGATCTGGATGGCTGAACTCGGTGACAGCCGGGGTAACACAAGCAACAGCATCAAGCTGCAATTCGAGGTGTGTGAATGTCCATCAGCATGTCGGCTGTTACTATGTCATGTGTTAATAAACCAACCGTTAGACCTATACTTGCCAATCACTTTGACATGCAGCAATTTTAGTGGGTATCTTTAGGCTCAGAAGGCAATACCCCTCCTCCTTTTCGAGCATCCCCACAGTCTTTGAAAAAAAAAAATATACATGTCTTTTTTTAACCTTCCTGGCGGTATTCCCGAGTGTGGCTCGGGGTTAATTTTCAGTACCAAAAGCAGTAACCCCGAGCCACACTCAGGATTACATTGTAGCGTCACTTACCTTGTCCCTACGAGCCCCGCTGTGTCCTCCGACCGATGCCGGCATCCGTCTTCCAGATTCCTTGAGCGCCGTTGCTGCGGGGGGTGGAACCGGTGGGACATTTCAAAGTGAAAAATAGAAGAAAAAAAAAGAAATGCTGACATAATCAGACCGCCAGGTTAAGGTCTCTTCAGTCTCATAACATCACAAGTCCTCTTTACCCTCTTCTTGCTTCAGTGGTGGATGCATCCTATGAAATGCAGAATGGTGCCATCTATTGATGTTAGTAGGTTGAATGACCCTTGACCTCATTCAACCCAGAAGAGGACAGGCTAGCTGAGTCTGCAGGGAACAGCATCAAAGAAAATAATAAAGGTTTTTTTTATGGAGGGGGGGGGGATTAGGTGCTTTAAACTCTAGTCATTGTTTGCAGGTAAAGTGACTAGAAAGTAAAACCTCAATTTAAGTTTTCGCCTCCCCCCAGTTGGCAATCATCACTTACCCTATCCATGCTCCAGCGCTGTGCCTGGCTTCCTCCTCGGTCCAGCGCCGGCGGTCCTCTTCGGGGCAAAATGACACTTTAGAACATTCTGCCCATTTCTTGCGAGCTGGGGGGGGACATCAGCTCACAGTACCCCAGGCCTGAGCAGTGCTCATGTGTCATTACATGAGCGCTACCCATCCTGGAAGAATGAGTGGCAATGTAATGTTGCCAACCGCCTCTGTTGGACTCCAAATACAGAGAAGTGACATGCCGGGGGCTCTGGAAGGAGCAGGCACAGCAGCCACTGGTCTTCATACAGTATGTTTGCTGCATTCCAGTAAGGATTGAGCAGTGGTGGATACTTTCATTGCACAAGGAAGATCATATCTGTAGAAATAGAAGGTAGAAATGTACTTCTATAATACTGATAAAGGTGCCTGGAGTTCAGTGGACTCAAAAGTCAATATATGACGGACTTGAATGCTGCACTGCTAATGCATAATTTTTCTTCTGCCCTCTCATTAGATCATCAGAACGTTGGAGCTTCTCCCCATCCCCAATAAAAACATGCTGGAAGAGAGTAAGATCCTCCCCATCATACAGCGATGGTCTCAGACCAAAATGGCCATTCCGCAGCTCAGTGAAGGCGATGGCTACTCCAGCGAGAACACGTCCCGGGCGCACACCCCGCTCAACACCCCCGCCAACACTCCCGATCCTGCCACCAAGCTGAGCGCGGAGGTGGAGGGCGAGACCCCCAAGAAACTGGTTCTGCGCAGGCTGAAAATCGTCAGCGAGAACAGCATGGACAGCGCAGCGTCCGATGCCACCAGCGAAGTCGAAATAAAAGAAGTGTCCGTAAAACAAGAGACGCCCGCCGTCGATGAACAAAAAGAAGGGGAGAAACTGAAGGAGGAGATCAAATCCGAGGAGCCCCCAACACCCACCGAAGAGCAGCCAGTTCCTGTCCCCAAAACCGAGGATGACCAAGCTGCAGAAGTGAGCAAGGAAACGCCGTCCGGTGTCGAAGTCTCTGAAATGGAGTCCAAAGACCCTGGCGGGCTAAAGGTAGAAGAGACACCTGCAGTGGGGACCCCATCGCAGGATGAGGAAGAGGGCATCTCCGACGTGGAAAGCGAGAGGAGCCAGGAGCAGCCGGATAAGATGATTGACATGAGCGAGCTGGCTTCCAAACTTCTTGAGGGGTGGAAAGATTTAAAGGTAAGGAATATCGATTTTAGATGATGATGTCTGTGGGACCTTCTCAACTTTTGGGTTTACTTGTTAGATCTTGTGAGCCTTTTTGCTCATTTGCAATTCCATGATTTCTTAAAGCTCAGCTCTTGGGAGGAGTTATGCGGATATCAAAATGCCTTGATTTGGAAAAGTGGGCATTCCTAGGCAGGCTGTATTTGCACGCTGACTGCCATATGTAATGCCCACGTGTGATGCTGAGCCTCCATGGTTGAAATACGTCAAATCAATGAATAAAAGGAGTGGACCAAGCACAGTCAGGCTGGGGAGATACAGGAGGTTACATGATGGGCATCCTCCAGCCAGGAAATGAGGCGGACTCTGTATAAACTTGCTGTCAGCAAAAGCTGCATTTTATATATATATAGATATCTATAGATTATATATATTACATACATACATACATACATACATACATACATACATACATATCCCTAAATGGTTTTGGAATTTTACATTTTTATCTTGCGGAGCTTTAATTGCGTGTTTAAAGAGGCACTGTCACTTTAAATGAATGGGCAGCCCCCCCC